CATGTAGAAGTTGATGTTTTCTGCCCAGTTACCTAAGTCGATTGAAACCATAGGAGGACCCCTCCCTTCCTTCCCCAGAGCGCGTCTCAGTCAGAGGTAGGAAAAGGGCATCCAGCTAATACACAGATAGCAGCTTGATTCAGTTTAAATGAAGGGGAAGGAACAAGTGAAGGGCGTCCCTGGCTGGTGCGACCGGCACCTGGCCCGGACCGCCTGAGCTGAGCCTGTCTGGGCCCCGCCAGGCCGGGGACAACGCGGTACCGGCTCGGGCTGGTCTCAGGGAACCGACTGGTGAGTGTGCAGTGGGGAGACTGGAGGAGCGGCCAGCTGCTTCTGCTGCCCGCCCAGCCTGTTCCAGAAGGATCGGTCGGCCTGCCCGCGGGGCGCTCAGGAGGGCCGTTTCCATCCAGAGCAGACCTCCTCCCCCACCTCCGTCCCCAGCTGCGGGGTGCCTGGGCCAGCAGATGAACCACGGTTGGGTTTTTTGCTTTGACTCAAGGCTTTGGTTTGCTCGGCTGTGAACTCTGAGACCTGCGGGAACGCAGCGGCCCCCTGCAGGCACCTGCGACGGGTCGGACCTGGGCCGCAGCCGGGCTGGCTGCGGGAAGGCCCGCCCCCCGGGGCGCCGAGGGGCACCTGTGCCGTGTGGGCTGGACCCCCGGATTCCTTCCCAAACCTGGCGAGTCCGCCGCTCAGCAGATGAGTCCCCGCGTGGAGGGCGGGGTGAGGCGGGGCGTGAGCCGGGTGGGGGCGGCCGGGAGAGGGGCCGCCGCTGCCCCCCAGAGTCTGCCAGGAAACCGGGTGAGAGCCGAGCCGCCCAGCTGAGAAGCAGGGGCAGCTGCGGGCCGGAGTCGCAGGGGCGAGATGAAGGGTTGACGGGGACAGGGGGCGGGGCAGCAGGGGCGGGGGGCGGGGCAGCGTGGGATTGACAGAGGGGGCAGGGCCAGTAGAGGCCGGGCGGGCGGAGGTGCAGGGCGGGGCTGGGGTAGGGGGCGGGGCCGATAGGGACGGGCCGGCGGGGCGGGGCGGGGCGGGGCGGGGCAGGTGGGCACGGGCGCAGAGCGGGCGGAGCAGGGAGGGGCAGGTCTTCGCGGCCAGGTGCGGCGGGGAGCGGGCGCTGCGGCGGGCGCAGGTGGTGCGCGGCAGGGGCAGGTTCCCTGTGGCGTTGGGTGGGGGGCGGCATGTGGGGGCGGTTCAGAGACTGGAGGAAAGCGCAGGGCCGGACCTTGCGGCTGCGGCCACAGGTTGGGCGGGCAGCAGCGGGAGGTGAGTGAGGACGCGACCCTTGCGCCCCTGCGCTGGCTGACGGGGGCCCTCACGGCCTGGTGGCTCGCTGCGTCCGCCCCGGGGGACGAGTGGGCTTGCCTGTGCCGCTGGAGAGGAAGGGGCGGTCCCCAGAAAGAGCGAGAGACTGGGATGGGGCGGACTGCGGAGAGCAGGCCGCAGGAGGGGGTGGGGGCATCTGCCGCGGGATGGAGGGTGTTTCCTGAGGGGCTGAGTCCGTGGGGCCCCTGAGCAGAGCAGGAGGGCCGGGGGTCGGGGCGCCGGCCCCCACCAGGACAGGCTCACGGAGAGCCACAGACAGGCAGGGGCCGGCATGGTCTCTGGACTGCACCCAGGTGAGGCTGCCCTGTGTGGCCGGAAGCTCCAGGGGCCGTGGACCACATCGGCTTGTAGGGGAGAAGCCAGGAGGGCGGCTGCGAGGGGTGCAGGGAAGGGCGGGGAGGAGAGTGGGGAAGAGGGCGGCCTGGTTGAGGGACCGCTCTCAGCCAGGAGGTCGCCCTGCTGCCTGCCTGGGTGGGGCCTCCTTGCTGGTGGAAATCACGGTTCCTGTTCAAAGTGATTAGAAATGAGTGTTCAGATTCTGAGGCCCCCGGCACCAAGGGCGCTGTGGGGCTTTTAAGAGTCAAATCAAGCTGATTAAAAAAGAGAATGTCTTTTGAGTCTTGCTGGTTTGGGACTGAGAAAATGACCCCGTCTAGAGTGGGACCGCAGTAGCAGAGAAGCCCTCCTAGGGGGGTCGGAATAGAGACCCGGGCCCTTGGTCAGTAGACGTCTCTCGATGACATATTTCTGGGGGCAGGATGGGGTGAGTCCCGAGGAGGGACGCTGCTGGCCTCACCTCTCTCCACCGTGTCCTGGATGTTGGGACCCCTGGTTTGGACCCCTGGACGGTGGCCTGAACAGCACGTTTTTCTCAGCATACTTGCGGTTCTGCGGGACTTCCTTGCTCAGGGTCTGGCAACTGGCCGAGCTGGCAGCAAGGGGAGGAGGCGGCAGCTGCTCTGAGATGCCAGGCTGAGGCCCAGTCCAGGTGCAGGGAGGGCAGGTGGCCCATCTGGGAGGCGCAGTTCCTGGCAGTCCTTCAGGGCCAGCCCAGGGGGAGGGGGCAGATGCCTGGTGTGGGCCATGAGATTGGGTTTGCCATGACCAGAGGCCAGAGGGGTGGTGGTTCCTTGGGGCTGCACAGCTTCCCTGTGCTTGTCCCGCCTTGCTGCCTGATGGCCAGCTTCTCCCTCCGGCGAGTCCATGTGGGGAGTCGTCTGAGTGCCTGGCTGGCCTCTCCTGGTGACTCCCACAGCATCTACCGTTGGAGACCCCAGCCCCTTGCCCAGACCCTCATCCCTGGACTGGGTTTGAATGGACATTGGGGTGCAGGTGCCCAATGGCAGGCAGGGGTGGGGGCAGCCCTTTCTAGAACTTTCCTCTAGGCCAGGCAACAGGGACTACCCCAGAGGGGCTCCCAGAGGTGCCCTCCCCTCACCTGGCAGGTGGGACCTTGGGGCAAAAAGGTCTGTGTCCGGTATTGAGTGCCTGCTGGATGCACTGTGCCTGCTGCCTTCCTTGTTCCTTCCTAGTCCAGTGTCTGGCCTCTGTCTGCCTGTCCCTGGCCTTACACATGTCCTCACCATCACGGGCATAGATATTCTGTGCTCCGGGAGGAAGCAGGCCCCCTGGATGTGGGGCAGAGGGGCAGCCCCCGGCATGGTCCGCATAGCTGTCTGTCCAGAGTCCTTCTTGGCTGTAGGCTCGCCATCTTGTTCGCGCCCTCCCTGCTGTGCACCAGGCGGGACTCCTGCTCACTGTCCTGTCCTTTATCCTGTCCTTACCCTGTCTGGTGGGAGGGCCTAATGCGTCCTTCCCTGCTCCCAGAATGAGCCCACCTCCGTCCCCTGGGGGCCTCCCTTGGGGCCCACCCTGCCCCAGCTATTGGCAACTTGCAGGTGGGGGTCAGGCCTGGGCTGTGAGGTCAGATTCTAGCACAGGAAGTCCTGACTGTCCCCCGGAGGCTCACGGAGCCTTGGGTGATCTGTGGACCAGCAGTGGGTGGGGTTGTGTTCCTCTCCAGCAGTCAGTGAGCGTTGAGACCAAAGCAGTGGGGGCAGATGGCCCTGCAGGCCGTGCTCAGCCCTTGGGCCTCCCTGGGAGCCTGTCCTGCTCCTGCAGCCGCGGGGAGACAGGCTCAGAGAGAATGATGCAGGGTGGACAGAGCAGCCTTCAAACCCAGATGGGCAGGAAGCTTCTGGCTTTTCCCCTCCCATGGGGGTCAAAACATCATCCTTCTCTTCCCTGTCTTCTGACATAGTGAGAGGGAGCACAGGGGCTGAGGGTGTGGACGGAGCCGTGTGTGTCCCCAGCCTGCTTGCTCCCCCACAAACAGCCCCCACCTGCTTTTCCAGCTGCCTTCAGGAACGCAAGGACGCAGCCCCGCGCAGAGCTGTTGGTTACAATGAGCTGCAGTGTTAGATTTAGTGCGATACTCACGTTTTTTCAGGAAAGTGAATAGTACTCTTTAATGAATTTTTTTCTCTGAAAGGATCCATTGGTGCCCCCTCATCAGCGGGGACATGTCCCAGGGCCCGCAATGGACGCCTGAAGCGGCGCGGAGTTCTGAGCTCCGAGGGCACCATGTTTTCTTCCCGTGTGTGCGCGCGGGGTTAGGCTCCATTTACGGATCGGGGTCAGTACGTGCCCGCGAAGGAGAGCGGTGTCCCAGCAGGCCGTCGGAGCAGAGGCTGTGTGAACGCTGTCTCCGTGCACTGGCTTACCGGCGGGGCGAGAGGGTGACGAGCCCTCGTGAGCAGGTGACCGGCTCAGGCTGGGGACATGGCGTGAGGCGGCCGCTGACCTTTGGACCGCATGTCCGGAGATCATGACCTTCCGGTTGAGCGTGGGGCCCCTACTCTGCAGGAAGCAAAGCCAGGAGGAAAGGGGACTGTTGCGGGGCAAGTGTTCTCTGTTGGAGACCCTGCGTTCCCCGCGCCCACAGCAGCCGTGGGTTTATCAGGCTGCGTGGATGGTGGGGAGGCCTGTGCCTGCGGAGCCTTTGGGGAGGAAGACAGTGGAAGACTGTGCCCGCCCGTCCCCCGTGGCCTCCCAGCTGGACTGAGACCCTTCCTGAGACATTTCCTGTTCCCGGCCGACTCCCGGGGACCTGTGTGACGTTCTTAGGAAATCCGATTGAACCAGGGCTGGTGACAAGTGGAATACCACACAGGACCCGATGGCACCCACATGGCCTGCTCGGGGCCCTCTGTGCCGGCCCCCCCCACCCCCCTGCTCTCAGAAGCACAGCACTGCCGTGCAACTCGGGAGGGGCCCTGTCCTCCAGCTGGGCAGCTTAGTGGCACGATGCTTCTCCCTCCCTCCAGAACCTTCAATGAGTCCCAGCTACACTGCCTGGAGCTGGGCTGGTTCATGCGTTTGGGGAGGACTCGCTAGGCCTCACGGTTTGGTGCAGGGAGCTAGAGGAGGACACTGGGAGACCCCAGGCAGGCCCTTCATCCAGCAAGGACAGCAAGGCCACAGTCTAGCAGGAGCTGGGTGTCCCCCAGGCAGGGGTTCTCTGTCTGGCAGCCGCCCAGCACAGGGGCCAGGAGCATCTGGTGCCCCTGCCCGGAACAGGTCACGGCCCAGGCTGGGCTTTGGGGTCGGGTGCTAGGTGCTCTCAGGGAGGTTAATCGACTCTCCTCTGTCTCTGTCCCCCATTTCCTCCCCAGGGGGGCTTTCTCTGTGGTCCGGCGCTGTGTCAAGCTCTGCACCGGCCATGAGTATGCAGCCAAGATCATCAACACCAAGAAGCTGTCGGCCAGAGGTAGGCATGGCTGCGCCGGTGGGGGCCGGGCTCCTATAGGTGGCATCTCCTCCGGCCTGGTGGGGCAAGCAGCAGGGAGAGGAACCCATCTGCTCAGACTGGGGTCACTCCTTGACTCTGGTCTGGGAGCTCCTGGAGGGCTGGCAGTGGGGGCACTCAGAGGTCTGAAGACGTCTCGTGACTGATGCTGTGGGGTTGCTGGACCATGGGACCTCTCCAGGGAACGGTTTGCTGAAGTAGGGCAGGACTCTGGGCCTGCAGGGTTGAGTGTGGTGCTGGGCAGGACCTGGCCCTGGGCAGGAACCTGTCTACCTTGTTGTCCCTCTGGAGCCCTTGCTGGGTGGTGGCCCAGGCTGGGCACACAACAGAACCATGCCCTCTTGGGGTCCAACAGTGATGTGTGGTGGGGTGCTGCCCTCAGCAGGTTTCTCAGAGTACACAGTTGGGGGCAAGGGGCAGGGATCCATCAGGCCCCCCGAGGAACCCCAGGGCCAGTCAGGAGGAGGCCGGGTGATCCCTGGGCAGAGAGAGTCAAGCTAGGCCCCAGTCTGGTGCCATCTCGCTTGCCCAGGGACCCCCGGTTAGTGTCCAGACACAGATTGAGCTGAGAGGCTCCTTCTCTGGCCTGAGAGAGGCTGGACTTGGGTAGTGCTGGCTTACCTTCCCCCCCCAAGATGTGGGGTCCAGTCTGTGGGGTGTGCAGGTCAGTCTGGTGGCCTGCAAGGCACACTGTTGAGTCCCCCGTGCGATTTCTTCAGGCCTGTTTCCAAGGGTGGGCTCTCCTGTCCCAGCTCACGGTGGGGGGCCTGCAGGGCCTGGGGGGGGGGTCTGTCCCACATCCTCAGAGCCTGCTGCCCCCATGCGGGCATGAGCAGGGAGATTCTGGGCAGACCCAGAAGCATGAGCTCCCGACCGTCCCTGGATGACCAGTCCACCCCCTCCCCAGGGGGACAGTGGTGGGCTCTGCTGGCCTCTGTGGAGCTGGCTGTGGTGGCCGGGCAGGGAGGGGGAATGCGGTGGATCTCCTGCGACTCTTTGAGCCAAGGCAGCCCCAGAGCACGTGTGCCTGGACAAGGTGCCACCACGGAGCATGCCCTGGCACGCACACATGCAGCACATGTGCACGCAGCACACACGGAACACATGCACACACGCAGAACATGCACGCAGCACACACAGAACACACGTGCACACGCAGACACACGGAACACGCGCGCACACACAGCACACACATGCAGCACACATGTACACATGCACGCAGCACACACATGCACGCATGCCGTGCACGCACACACACACGCAGCACGCACGCCTATATGCAGCACACGTGCACACACACACACGTGCATACACAGCACACGTGCAGACCAGACACGCACACACGCATTACACACGCCTGCACGGAGCTCCCAAGGTCCCTGACACCAGCTGGGGGATGCTAGTGGATGCCGGCTGGCGGTGGTTTGGGAGGATATGGCTGCAGGGGTGGAGTCCCTAAGGCAGGAGGAACATAGGCTTGTTCCAGACCATGGGAGGAGGAGAGGCAGCCCCCCTCAGAGGTCCCCCAGACTGTCGACGCAGGCCCTCTCCCCATGCTTGGCACTGAGCAAACATCCTCGTAAGCCACTGCAACTCCAGGTGTGAGCATGAGCAGGGGGGAGGGCAGGGAGCAGTAGGAGGGTCTTGAGGGATGCATAGGAGTTTGTGAGGCTCAAGCAGAAAGGGATGTGGGTATGTTTCTGTAGAATCACTCGGCTCCCCTGCAGTACCCTTCCCCCTGCCCCATGGGTGCCTTCAACGTGCTCTACAAGCAGGGAGGTTCAGGACCAGCAGAAGCCTCAACTTGCAGGTGTGTTGGGAGAGTACCACTGCACGTGCTCACTCTGCCCCGGCAGGAGTGCACCTGCTCGCCCCTTCCTGGCCAGACAGCCTGCTTTGTTGCCTCCGTGTCCCTGAGGCCAGGCCCCTGGAGCCCCTGCCAGCGTGCAGCCAGGGAGCTGTGCGGAGCCTGGGGCTCCCGTCAGTCCTGCTCCTGCCCATGTCCTCACACACGTGTCCTGGGCACAGCCTGGGATGGGTGGCGGGAGCAGGGCCGCAGCAGGGCCGTGGGGAGCCAGAGTGGCTGGCCCGCCCCATCCCACCTACTCTCGGGGCCTCTGCTGCTTTGCCCCCCATGCTCAGGCCTCTGCACTGCCCAGCACTGGGGGGGTCTGGGACATTTTTGTTTCCTTTGTAACTCTTTATCAGGGGAACTTTAAAACATCCCCAAATAGAGAGAAGGGGACAGCATGGTCCCCCAGCTTCGACAGCTGGCGACTCTCCGCTGACTCTGCTTCGTCTGTAACCCCCGTCCTGCAGCCCATCCCAGATGCCCTGCTGCTCTGCACGTTGTTGCTCAGCACGTCTGTCCGAGGGAGGAGCGGTCTACACGGAGGACTGGTCGCCTCCCCTGTGCGGGGGCCTCAGGGTCCTCGGGCCCTCCCCAGTCCCTCCTGGCTTTCCTAGCTGAGGGGACCAGTGGGAGGGCCAAGGGGACAGGGTCTCTGTGCAGACTCTCACCTTCGTGCTCAGCGTGGGCCAACGGTGGGCTGGGGCTTGGCACCACACCCCCTCCCCCCATGCCTCAGTGTCCCCAGCCATAACAGGGATGAAACTAGTGTGTACTCGTACCTGATCGTGTGGGGAGTAAGGTGCTTAGGAGTGGCCCACAGGTATAGTGCTGCCCGAGACCTCCCCTCTCCGCCTCGCTCCCTCCCCTTTCCGGCCACCCAGCCTGTGGGTCCCAGGCCCCCTCCTCTGTGAAGCTGCCCTTGGTCCTCCCGCCCAGCTTGGAAACCCCCAAGTCTGAAGGCGTCTCTCCGCCGACGGCTTGTTCCTGGAGGGCACTAGCAGCTCTGTGCCCTTCCTGCTCCCAGACCCTCCGTCAGGCTGCAGGGCAGCCTTCCGTAGGCCCCAAGTTCTCCCCTGGCCTGACGCACCGTCTGGCCCTGTCTGCTCCCTCCCACCAGCTCTCCTTAGGCCCTTGGCTTCTTCCAGTGCCTCATGCTCCTGGGTCTTTGCACATGTCTGTTCTCTCTGGAAATGATTTTCCCGAACTGTCTGTTGGTGACCTTTCCTCAGTGGGTCTGCTCTCTGCCTCAGTGGATTGTGGGACCCAAGCACCCTCTTTGTACTATGACTGTCTTTGCCACCAGACTTATAGGCCCCGGGGGCAGGGCCTGGATCCACTGGGTTCCCTGCCACGTCTCCCACACTCTGGCCAGAGCCCGTTGCTCCAGAAGTGGTGTGGAGGGGATGGCCACATTCCCGGAGTGAATGCATTTTGGTGAGGGGTGTACACAGAGTATGCTGGAGATGGGTTAGGCTCCCAGGTGGGATGCGGGGTGGGGATGGGGTGGAGGGTATCTAGAGGGTTGGGCTGCTGTGTTGGGTCTGTGGGGCATGCCCCTGTCATCTGGGATGTCCGGGCACCCGAGCGTGGTTGGGAAGCCTGGTGGCCACTCTGTAACTAGATCCCGCAGGGTCACAGAAAGTGTCCTGAGCGAGGGCACCCAGCCTGTTCTGTGGCATGTGCCAAACCAGCTCCCTTGCCAGGTAGCCCATTTCCGAGATCTGTGTCCTGCTGCCTCGGAGGAGGGATGGAGAAGGGCCCATGGGTGAGGGGGAGGGACCCAGGGCAAGTGCCTTAGAAAGAGGAGTGGTGGGAAGTGGAGATGCAGAGCCCTTGTCCCCCACTGTCCTGTCCATCTGTTGCTGAGTCCAGTGCACTGCGGAGGGGGTCCACACTCCTCCCCCACAGGGGGCAGCAGCCTGGCTCCTTTGAGGCTTCTGCTGATAGAGAAGTGGCCGGCCACATGCAGTGGCCAGGAGCACACGGGCCCTGGACACACGTCACCTGCCCTGCTCGGTCACGGGCGCTCCTGGGAGTGCCAGGAAACTGCAGGTGCCGTGTGCTGTCGGGGCTAGAGCTGTAACGCTTCCTGTGTCTCCAAGGGGGGACTGCGAACAGACCTGGGTTGCGGGGTACTGTTAACAGAAGCAGCTCGAGGGACGTGAATTGCCTGGGGTCAGGGCTTGTCGGGGCACCAGAGTGTGAATTGCCTGGGGTCAGGGCTTGTCGGGGCACCAGAGTCTGCAGACCACGTCTCCGCACCACTCTGGGTGGTGGCTAAAGGAAGGGAGGAGCTGCCGAGGACGGGGCCCGCCCTGCCCTTCAGCAGCACTGTGTCTGCACCAGGCTTCTCCATGACCTTCCTCACCCCCTGTGGTCTGGCTGGGCACCTCGTTTCACAAATGAGGGGACTGAGCCCTCCAGAAGTCCGGAGCATTGCTCAGGTTCCCCCAGCGGTGCTGAGCAGAGCCTGGGGCACAGGCAGCTTTAGGGTCCACCCAGCTGGGGGGCCTGATGAGGGTCAGGCATGGGGCTGACTGCGCAGGGGAGGGGCTGGTGTCTCGGGTGGGGCTGACCGCACAGGTGTGGTCAGGTGGGGCTCACAGGTGGGGTTCACCTCATGGGAGGGGCTCACCTCTGGATGAGGGGACTGAGTGACAGGTGAGGAGATGAGGCCTCACCTGTGAGCCTCCTGGGACCCGCAAGCTGATGCCTGGCTCACCCCCAGCTCCTTCCTGGGTCACCTCGGGCTGCCCTTTCCGTAGGGCCTGTGTGGCTCCTTGTGCCGTGGGGCACCCCTGCGCGAAAGTGTGATGGGGCGGGGCAGGCCCGGCCCCCTCCCCCCAGAAAGCTGGACCGGCCCCCTTGGCACAGCGAGTCCCAGGTTTCCCAGGTTTCGCTGCCGGGGTGGGGAGGGGGGCGCCCCCCACCACAGCCCGGCAGCCGGACCAGGCTCCGCGGAACTGGGTTAATGGAGGACGCAGCGCCGCATTGCAGGGGCGGCTGAGCATGCGCGGCCGGAGCCCCTCCCTCCCTCTCCCTCCCTCTCCCTCCCCTGCGCTCGGAGGTGGGGACCCTTCCCCACGGTCCCCTCTTCTCCCTCCTGTCT